CCCGGCACCTCGGCGCATGTGTGATCGACGGCAGCGACGGGGCCTCCGAGTCCGGGGAACACGGCACAACGGGGCCGCTCTCCGGCGAGGCCGCCGTCGAGGAGATCACGCGTGCGTACGAGAAGGTGAGGGTCAAGTACGAGGCGGGGAGGGCGTACTACTACGACATCGTGCGACGATTCGACGGCGAGAGCCAGGCTGCCGACGGCGGGGCGCGCGAGGGCGGGAACGCGAATTTTTGGAAGGCACAAAGAGCTCAGGGCACATCGGACCGCTGACGTCGACGCGAGTGTTCCGGACAGGGCGTGGTCGAGTATGTAGCGGAACGACGAACGTAATGCAAACGGTCGCCGAGGTGTGCGTGTGTGTGTGTTCCCGCACATACTTTCCTTACGCGCACGGTGCCTGAAGCCCTCGCTCAGGCTCGCAGTGTTATAATTAGAGCCGCGCATACCGTAGACCGTGAACCACGCCCAAAAGAGTAACCGGTCTGCCAAATGCGGCCCAAAATACACCAATTACTCGGCCACGTGCGCGGTGCCTGATCCAGCGGAAAGGGGGAAGAACGACATCGTGCCGCCCACCGCGCCGAACCCAGGCTTCTCATCGTCGACTCGACTCGGACGACTCGGAGCTCCTCTGCGCTGCACGCCCACTCGCTCGCTCTTACGTCGACCGCGCTCGGTTGCTTTTCATTCAATCCACCGCCTGCCTCCTCGTTGTCGTCTCGTCCCAGCTACAGAGCCTCCTGCCTGACAACGGGCACCCAAGTGCAAGGGCTGTGCGTCACGGTAGACCCACACCTGCACACCCCATCGCGGCCTACCACACGCCGCCCCGCGGGCCCCCCCCCCCCACCTACCACGCACTCCCACCCAACTCAGTCCCAGACGGACGAAGCACGTCGCCGTACGTTAGCCGCACACGTAACTCGCCCCGTCACCGTACGTACCTCGCCCATCTCCCGCAAATTGTCGATCGAAACCAGAAACCCCACCTCCCCCCGCCAACGCCCTCGAGATGCCTCATACCGCCCCGGCAGGCCCCCACGCCCACTCCCACTCCCACTCCCATCCTCTCTCGCACGCACACGCCCACGTCCCGCCGTCCTCCTCCGCGCACGTCCACGCCCCTCCCACACACCACCAGCACCTCGCGGGGGCCGCTCAACACGCCCCTCCGACGCCCCCCGTCGCCTCTGCGGCCCCGGCCCCGAGCTCGGCCGCGCCCCGCGCACGCGCGCAAAACGCGCGGAAACGCGCCGCGCAGGCGGACGACGCCGCGTACCACGCCGCGGCGGGGACCAAGCGCGCGGCGGGGGAGCGCGCCGACGGGGACCGCGAGCGGACGAAGCGGAAGCGGGTCGACGGCGCGGGGGGCTCGGCCGGGGCGGGGGGTGCTGGGGGAACCGGGCACGGGGGGCAGGCGAATGCTGGAGGGGGAGGAGGAGGAGGGGGAGGGGCACATGGGGCGGATAGGGAGGACAGGGTGTCTTTGGTGAGTGGTTCATTCCGTTCGGCCGAGGAGGGATGCTGTATACGTCCCTGTGCCGAGACGAGGAGCACGCGCCGCTGGGAGCCGAGGCTCGAGACTCGAGACGGGAAGGGGGCAGTGGCAGATCGACGTGGGACGCGGGCTATCACGGCGCGCAGGTCGACGTTGGCAGCTGTCGGATGCACGCTTAACGGACGACGCGGCTCGGACTGAAGGCTGAGGCAGTTGTGCGGACAGACGCGCGTGGCGGGGATGCCTCGGACAGGGGGGCGGGGGTGTCGGCCATGCCGCGTCCGCATTCAGGGCTGGGCCGATATGAGCGTATTCGCCGCGAAAGTGGGGAACTGGGGAAGCTGGCGGAAGCGATGATCTCAGTCTGTATGTGTGTGTGGAGCTCCGGTCGCCTTGGTGCGCGTTTCGTAAGGGACCCGCCCGAGAAGACCATCTGTGCTTCTCCTTCGGGCGGGGGCCGTCCGTCTGCTGTCAACATCACGCCCGTCCCACTCTCTCGCTCTCTGCTCTGATCCCGGGGGAGAGCACGCTCGCTCGCTCGCTCCCGGGGGGGTGGAGCGAAAAATCAACGGCGCACGCCCGTCAGACGGTTGATGCTAACGTCTGTCCCTCGTTGTATGTCGCAGATAGACTTTACGGCGTTCCCGCCGGACGCGCTTCATCGATACCTCTCACACTTTGACCTGGTGCCGGACCTGGATCCGTCACCGCTGAGCGTCGAGGATCCTGGCCCGCCGTCGTCGCTGCTCCGGCCGAAGAGCCACGTCCCGCCACACGGGCACGCGCTGCGGCGGACGTCGACGTCGAGCCCGCCGCCGACCGCGACGGTGGCGCCCCGGGCGCGCCGCGAGGGCGGGGGGAACCGACGGCGCAGCGCGCGGCTGGTGGAAGAAGAGCGGCAGCCTGCGCCGCGACCGGTGTACGGGGACGTTGGGGAGGTGGAGGGGGTGCTGGCCGCGATGGCCGAGCGGCACTTCCGGGGGCAGGAGGTGCGGGAGGTGGACACGCTCGCGGCGTTCATGTGCGCGGTGCAGGCAAAGGGTGAGTGCGCGCCGTCCAAGTGCGCGGGCGCGATTGGCGAGTGCTGACGGACATGACGTATGGCAGCTCGGCTCGCGGCGTGACCGGCGGGCCAATCAGCACGCGCGCTGTGCGCTGCCACCGTCGGTGTGCGCCGGTGTCCAAGAGAGGCGCCCGCGCAGCCCACGCCAGTTCAGCCCACGCCAGCCCACGCCCCGCTTCTGCTCCCGATCTGCCAACGCAAGACACCCCCGCCCAGAATAGCCCCGCGCACGAGTCTCCTAGGCGACAGTCTGTACATCCTCCTCCTTCCTCCACAGCCGCCCGTCCCCACACAGCACAATGGCCTCCCTCTTCCCTGTCACCCCGTCCGCTTATATACGCCCCTTCTTCCTTCTCCCTCCCCATCCCCTCCTCTCTCTCCTCCGCCTCCCATCCTCTGCAGCAGTGCTGCCCGGTCCCGGTTCCTGTAAGCCCTTCTTCTCCCGTCCCTCGGTCCCGCCCCATACTCAACGCCTCGCTTCCAGCTTAAACCTTCAAGCCCGTTTCGGCCCTTTCGCACTTCACGAAGCTAGCTTCGCCTCCCCCGTTGACGCTCGCTACAGCCATGAAGTTCACCAGCTCCCTCTCCGCCATCCTCGCCGTTCTCCCCGCCCTCGCTCGGGCCACGCCCCTGGTGGTAAATTTTCCATGCCTTCTCGCAGTCGCCCTGCGGTCACTCATATGATCGACAGGACGCACGTGCCGCGCCTCCCCAGGCTGCCCCCGCCAAGGCCGGCGCGCAGGCCACCACCGGCGGCGATCCGCAGACGTCCCTCAGTATGTCGTGCTCGTTTAATTGCATTCACGGCACAGCACGCTCAGAATATTCCCCGCTCTCCAGCCCTCGTCCAGTCCGTCATCGCCAAGGGCTTCGAGAACAACGGCCAGGACCAGCCCACCGCCGGCCAGGTGCCCTCGCTCACGTCGTCGAACAACTTCATCAACTTCTGCGCCACCGTGCCCAACCTCCCGATCACCAACGGCCAGCAGATCAAGACGGGCTCGTGCAACCCCGCCCCGATGGGCATCATCGCCTCCACCGGCAACATGCCCTCCTCCAAGTTCGTCAACCCCAAGAACGGCGCGACGATCCCCGCCAACCAGGACTTCACGATCCAGATGGCCATCCAGCACCTCGAGACCGGCCACTTCACCAACGCGCAGGAGAACTTCTTCGCCGCGCCCCAGGTCGTCAACGGCGGCGGCGACATCCAGGGCCACTCCCACGTCGTCATCGAGCAGCTCACCTCGCTCGACCAGACCACGCCCACCGACCCCAACAAGTTCGCGTTCTTCAAGGGCCTCAACGACGCCGCCCAGGGTGGGGTCCTGAGCGTCACCGTCACCGGTGGTCTTCCGGCTGGTGTCTACCGTCTCGCCTCGATCAACTCGGCCGCGAACCACCAGCCCGTCCTCGTCTCCATCGCGCAGCACGGCTCCCTCGACGACATGGTCTACGTGAGTACCCTACTCCCCTTTCCCTTTCCCTCCCCAAGGCACGGCTGACCCCGCCCCCTCCCCCCACAGTTCACCGTCTCCAACTCCGGTGCTGGTGCGGGCGCGGCCTCCTCCGCCGCCGCCGCGCCCCCGAAGCAGACCGTCGGCGCGATCAAGGGCTCCAACACGGGCAAGACCCCCGGCAACCAGGGCGGCTTCTCGGGCAAGGGCCAGAACAACGCGGGCGGGAACCCCTCCGCGGGCAAGCCCTCCAACGGCTTCGGCCGCGGCGGCTTCCGCAACTGAGCTCCCTCCCTCCGTTCGCCGCCACTGCCGCCGCTGACCGTCCAGTGCTTCTGAGGACTCGCGTCTGAGGGGGCCTCTGGTGGAAATCGGTGATGGTGCTGGTGCTCCCCTACGGCGCTCGACGCGCCGCGGGCAACTTCTCCCCCCAAGTCATGATTCGATCGCTCATGTCTCCCCCGCTGTTGTCGCTGCTTTAGTATTACTGTATCTTCACTCATTCGTTCATTCCACATGTTGTAAAATACTGCGGGTCGGTGCGCTGCTGTGCGGATCGGCCGTCTTCGAATAGACGGGCTTTTTAGGTTTCGGGACCCCCCTACCTCCCTCACCGCATCGACGGCTTGTTTGCGTGCGAGCGCCGGGCTCGGACTGCACGCTCTGACCGGGCGACTGGAGACTTTCCTGAGACAGACAGGGCCTGTGGGCGCGCGTCGCGTCTTAATTTGACCGACCAGAAGTTATCCTTGGGGAGGGAGCCACGGGACGGGGCCCCAGCTGCAGGGGCGGGCTGATAAACCCCGGCGAGCCCTATGTTGGTGCGAGCCACGCCTACTACCTCGGGAGACAAAGATAGCAAACGTTCTCAGCTGCACCGCCGCTCTCTATTTAGTTGGAACTCCATGAGCGTCTCCGGAAGACCCTTCCTCTGGTCTTTGGTCGTACAAACCACAGGGGAAGAGGTGGACGTGTGCCCCGTGGCTGAGTTGGTTACAGCGTCCGACTGTTATGCTCATGACATCGGAAGGTCGTGAGTTCGAGCCTCACCGGGGCAGGATTTGTTTTGAGATCCTCGCCTTTTCGCACCCGAATTCATGTCGAACGACCTATAGCGCTAGCTACGAAGCGCAGCCTCAATTGGTCTGTGGACGCGGAAGAGCGACCTGGGCTGGGAGCCCCCACGAACACAGAAGGTATCGGGTGGTGGTCGAACTCAGTCTTTTTTCGTTTCGCGAATTGTAGAAAAGTGAATAATGATACACCAACCCCGAGGAGCAGCACGTAAATAACAGCTGCGACCGATCAAGCACGATCTACGCAAAGCAGGGTATGAGAAGTCACGGGTATTTCTCGACACACTTCCCACTCGGATGATGGAGAATGGAGAATGGAGCCGCGCGCGAGGGAAAAAGTAGACCGATATTTCACCGAGGTCGAAGAGCTGCAGAGTAGCGCGAGGGTATATAGTGGCACATCACTGGTACTTGTCCTTGTATATCCACGCGAGCCCGATGTCGCTCGCGCCCTGCGCAACCTATCCGGCCCCGAGTCAGCGGGCGCTCGGGGCAAAGAAACGAAAAAAAAAGACGGGGATGCGCACCGCTGCACGGTACCACTTTGCCGACTCGCGCTTGTCCTTCTTGCACCCCTTGCCGTTGAGCAGGCAGAACGCGAGCTCCTGCTGCGCGTCGGGGTCCCCCAGGCGCGCGGCGACGCGAAAGTATTGCTAAGCACGAGCACGAGCGCGCGCGGCGACTGGCATCAGTGGCGGCGGCGGCGGCGGAGCGGGGGGCGATGAGGGGGGACTGACCACAGCCATCTCCTTGTCCTTCTCGATGCCCCACCCGTGGAAGAAGCTCTGCCCCACCTCGTAGATGGCGAGGACGAGTTCGGACTGGGGTTGCCGACGCACCATCGCGATGCGACATTGAGAAAAAAAGATGTCATCAGCAACGGTCCAGCGATGGTCTCGGACAAAACAGAAGAGATGGGCGAAAGACTGTACGGGAGAAGGGGAGGAGAAAGAAAGAGGGGGAGATCGGGGAGGCACGCCAACGCACCTTGACCGCGCCCATGTCCATCCCCTGCCGCCCCTTCTCGAGGTCCGTCACCGCCAGCTCCGCCGCGCGCCTCAGCCAGCGGAACCCGGCACTCTCGCTCTTCGCGCACCCCCACCCGTGCCGCTGCGCGAGCCCCCACATGAGCATGCCCACGCCGCACCCCCCGTCGAGCGTCGCCGCCTTCTCGAACGCGGCCGCCGAGTCGGCGAGCCGGTTCTCGAGGTGGTGCTGGATGCCGACCTGCAGGAAGTCCTGCGGCGTCCGCGGGTTCGTCGTGTTCGGCGCCGCCGTGGCGGGCTTCTGGTGCGCGCTCGCGTTCGACTTGGTGCGCGGCCGCTGCGGCGCGGTTGGTGAGGGCCCCGGGGCGAGGCCGGGGGACGACGGCGGGTGTAGGCCGGGCCCGGTGGGCGTCGGCGGCAGCTCGTAGTATGAGTAGTCCGAGTATACGCTCATCTGGGACGCGTGCTTCTGCTGCGCGGGACCCGCGTTCAGGCTCTGCGTCTGTATCTGTGTCTGTCCTTGGGGCGAAGCGAGCACGGGGGAATAGGGGGCCTGTCTGTCCGAGAGCGAGGCGGGGGACACCGGCCGCGACCCCTGCCCGACGGGCGAGTGCATGGGGCTCGCCCCTAGCCGCGGACTTGGCATCGGCGAGTGCATAGGCGAGCCCACCGGTGAATGGGGGCTGCGCGCGTTCCGCATGAGCACCTCGCGTTTCCTGTCCTCATCGCCCGACGGCAGCACCGGCCGCGAGAAGTTCACCGTCCCACTGGGGACGCGCGACGGCACCCGCCCGCCCGTGTACAGGCCCTGCGCCGCCGCGTACGCATCCAGCTGCCTTTGATCTGGTTCCTCGGAGACGACGACGGTGGGCAGCGCGGGCGGCCCCTGGTGCGCGTCGGGTGCACTAGGGGGAGGAAGGCCGGACGAGCGCCAGGTGTCGCGGTACCGGGCGGTGATGTCGTCGATGTCATAGTTGGACGAACGCACCGAGTCGTGTGCGTCGCCGCCGGGCTGGGCGGACGCGCGGAACGTGTGCGTGCTCGCAGGCGAGGACGGGACGGTGCCAGGTGCGGACTCGGAGCGGCCGTCCCAGGAGAATGTGCGCATGCTTGCGTCGTCATAGTACGAAGACGCGGTCGCGGTCGACGAACGGAACTGTGTGTGTAGAATTGGCGAGTGCGGCGGTACTGGAGAGCTGCTTGGTGAGTGCCTCGGAGGAGTGCCTGGAAGCTCGAGGTTGGATGGGCGGTGGTTTTGAACACGCCGCGACGAGGCGCGGCGGATGAGCGAGCCTAGCGGGGATGAGTCGTGCACGTTGGGCGTGAGCTGTTGGCCGACGTAGAGCTCAGACATGGTCGAGGAGAGTGGTCAAGCGCAACTCTAGGCGGCGGACAGTGGTGGTGGTTATAACTCATAGCAGATCCCATCGAGGCCGTCGCCAAGCGGCACTGCAGCCCAAGCAGATCGCTCAGCCGATGGCGCCGCCACCGGCCGCAGTCGCTGCTCTAGAACGGATCCGCGACGCAACTCGACCGCCCACAGCATGTCTGTCCATTCGTGCGAGACAGGAGAATGCAGAGCAACATCGCATTAAGAGGGTGATTACAACTAATAGGACCGATGCTGTACTCGACGCGTCTAGAGGTACTTTTTCGACCGCTTGATCTCGGCGTACGGGTCTGCCCTCGGAAGCTTGCCGAACCGCGGCTCCTCCTTCTCTGCATATGGGTTCGCAGACCATAGCTTAGTACGACCATCCAAAGCCAGATTGTATTAGGACACTCACTAAGCGTGTGCTGGTAGATGTGGGAGACGGTCTCGTCCCAGACCTCACGCCACATGTGCGCACCGCCACCCCGCACGCCGTTAAACCCGTACTGCTCCGCAAAGGCACGGAAATTGAATCCAAGCCGGTCCGCCTCGGAGAAGACGGGGATGTCAATGGGCTCCGTAGGTGATGTTTGCGGGAGCATGAGAAGCACGTAACGGTGGTAGGGCGTCCCGCGTTGCGGGTGAGGAGGAACGTAGCGCGTGTGGGTGTCGAGGGGGACGGTGGGAGAGGTTGTGAATGCCGATAAAGGAATGTTGGGCCTGTAAAGTCATGTTATGGCGATGAAACGCGTGACACGCGAGAATGACATACTGCAACCAGTGGAGGTAGGACGTGAATGACTGTGTCTCCGGATCCGGAATGTCAAGGTCAACCATGAGGAGGGTGTACAGACGAGTGTCCGTATGGAACAACGTCATGGAGATTTCAGGTTGTCTCCGGGTCTTGATACCGGGCCCAACAGTTAGGATCCATTCTATACGCAAGGGATTATGGAACGCACCTGCTCGGGGACAAGGAAGATGCCGGGCTCGACCTGCTTCAGTTTCCGCTTGACACGCGTACGAAGGTAGTTGTCCTTTGGGGGAGGTTCCGCGTACTTGATGCGAAGGTCAAAGGAGGGGCGAAGTTCAGGCAGCATGTCGGGAACGACGCTCATTTGATAGATACGCTCCATCTATATGCGAAAGCAGGCTCTTAATACGCACGCGTCTTAGTCGAGCATGGTACGACGTACCAAAAGGTCCAAGTCGCCCTCCTCCCTCCACCGCTGCTCAACCAAATGCCTATAGATCGGTTGGTTCATGTCCGCTATTTACGCGTTAAGTATTGCATTGAAGACTCGCAACCCACGAAGTCACTCACCCAAGCCATTCCTCGCGTTCCACCGCACATTCGGCAAGTTCGCCTCGCTCTGGATCTCCAGAATGCCCACACGTTGCCGCATCTCCTCCAACGTCGCCTCACTCCGCTGGTCCTCAGGTTTCTTCTCCTCTGCGGCCACAGCAGCGCGCAACTGTTCGAGCTCCTTCCGGATGAAGCCCGCGTCCTTCAGGATGTAGCGCAGCGCATAGTCATACGCCGGCTCGACGCCCTTGGCGATCGGTCTACACCATCCCCGTGTGGCCTGCTGAGCAGGCTGTCGTCCTCCGCTGTTCTGCTTACCCCCAGACGAGCTACCCTTCGCGTCCGCGTTGCCAGAGGTGCTTTTATGAGACGCGCTGGACTTCGCTGTCACAGACGGAGAGGGCGGCGGAGCGGCAGTCGATTGTGACTGGGAGGCGGCCTCAAGTGTCGCATTCCCGCGTACGCTCGCTATTCTAGGGGTGAAGCGAGGTAGGCGTCGGAGAGCGAGCATGGCGGTATGGTTGTCCGGACACACGAGCCGGAAGGCACACTACAGAAATTATGGACGGGCGTCTACCAAGTAGCGCTGGACGAACTTGGAAAGTGCGGTAATATTTGTAACTTTAAGGTGGGTACTCGCGATCGTATTTCGGGGTAGGTCAGGCTACAAAGACATTATGGGCGTCACAGTATATATGTGCTTCTATGAGGAAGGTCGTCAATGGACATGGGCAATCCTACCGCCGCGCCCTGCTGAGGTTCGGACTCGACCTTTCAAAGATTCAACTATATCATAACATGAGAAGCCACAATAGCATTGCTAGGTAGGAAAACCCATCCAAATCTTTGTATGGTCATGATGGTGTGAAAGCAGCAGCTCAGGTACCCCGGATCTTTTGGCAAGTGCAACAAAAAGGTAGAAAAGTGTCAGATGACTGCCCCAGTGAGGCTCGAACTCACGACCTTCCGATACCACTAAACCTACGAACACCAGAAGTGAATCTCGGAATTAACAGTCGGACGCTGTAACCAACTCAGCCATGGGGCATAGCGTTCGGTGTCTACGCATTCATTTCTATCGCTCCTGCTGAGATAACATTTCGGCTGGGAACACAACTTGGGGGCCTTGTGACTACTTAGCCTGCCATCATGAGGAGACGACTCGCCGCCATACACCCTGTCCCCCTGCTGGCCACTGTGCCCCGCCAAAGACACATACTAATAATTGTTGCTTGAGGCCAAAAGCCACGCGAATACTATATTGTCATGATGGGCACAGGGTTGATCCGAGCTCGTTGCAAATAGTACTTTCTGTGTT